CTAGAAAGGTTTGCCCAATACTATCAAAAGGTAAAGTTAAAGCTTTGAAGAATGAAGCACAAGTAAAACTGCCAAATGGAGAAGGGACCCAAATGCCCAACTTTGAAGGGTCCAAGTAAACTCCTTTTAAAATTTGAAGTAAAGTCAAAAGGCTGTTTACATCTGAATCCCTAAATCCCCTTCTGAAACCCAAATCCCAGGCAAGCTCAAGACCCTCAATAGGAGAAGAGAGGAAAGTGGAAGTTGGCTCATTTTTGTAGTCAAACAAAGTAAAGAGAAAGGGAAATCGATCTTTCAAGGGCAAATCCCCCACCCACAGATGTTCCAAAAATTTTACTGAATTTCCAGAACAAAGGTTATACCTAATAAAAGGAAGGAATAAAGGTAGGATGGCATGTATAGACTTCCAAGGAGAAGCACTAGTAGCTCGAGCCAATGCTCCCACATCCCAACCCTCAATCGTCAACCCATGAATGCTCAAGATTACCTTAACCCATAACCTGTCCTCTATCAGTAGTCTCCACACTTTCCCAACAAAGGCATATTTCTTTTTTGAAGATTTCCAATGCCTAAGCCTCCAAACTTCATGCTTTTAATTACAGTTTCCCAACTAACCATCTGATCCTTTCTTTTCCCCTAGTTAAGTCCCTACTATTTTCTACAGGCTTTTGGAAACCCCAACTGGAATTTTGAACACCGATAAAAAGTAAACTGACAAATTGGCTAAAGTCAAGTTGATTAAGGTTATCCTCCCTCCTAAAGATACCTAGTTCCTCTTCATTGAAGCTAATCTCTTCGTAACTCTATCCACCACTAGGTTCCAAATTATCAGTTCTCTGATTGTCTGCCAAGGGAAGGCCCAAGTAATTCATAGGCCAATTGGATACTTCACAATCCAAGATAGCTGCACATTGTGACATATCCCTTTCATTCATATTCACTCCCACTACACAACTCTTGTTAAAATTGATTTTCAAATTTGATATTCGCTCAAAGAGTTGAACCACTAATTCCAGATTTCTCGCACATCTAAGATCATCTCCTACACAAAATAATATTGTCATCAGCAAACTGCAATTGGGTGATAGGCATTCTATCCCTTCCAACTCTCTTCAATCTCCTCTTTGGGTTAATCTCCCCAAGACATCAGCTACCAAGGTAAACAAAAAGGGTGAGAGAGAATTACCCTGTCTAATCCCTCATATTGCTGGAAAGTGATCAGCAACAGTCCCATTCACCAAAATTGTATAGTAGCAAGTTCTCAAATAACCTTGAACCCATTTGCACCATTTCTCCCCAAATCCAAAATTTACCATTACTTCCAAATAAAAAGGACCAGTCCACCAAATCATAGGCCTTCTCTAGACCAAGTTTGTAGACTATACCCTTCTTTCTATTCCTTTTGAACTCCTCAAAACTCTCATTAGCAATAAGATCTGATCAATAATTTGTTTGTCCTTTACAAATGCTCCTTCATTTGGGGAGATAATAAAAGGAAGCACAAATATAATTCTCCGAGACAACACCTTTGCAACGATTTTATACTAACTATTAGCCAGGTTGATGGATCTAAACTCTCTTGGGTGATTTGCCTCCAACTTCTTTAGGACCAAAGCAATAAAAGTGGAATTCAGCCCAGGATTTATTATCCCTCTTCTAAAAGACCCTTAATAGATCTTCTTTTAAGAGGTCCCAGCAATCTTGATAGAAATCCATTGTAAACCCATGCGGCCCTGGTGTTTTAGCTCCATCCATAGGCCCTCAATAGATCTTTTAAGAGGTCCCAACAATCTTGACAGAAAACCATTGTAAACCCATCTGGCCCTAGTGTTTTAGCTCTATCCATCAAGAAAGCCACTTCCTTTACTTATTCCAAATCAAAACTCCTTTCCCACCAATCTTTGTGGTCTCCTAATAACCTTGGCCACTTTAACCCTTCTATTCTCAATCTCCCCAATAGTGGTCTTCTAAAGATAGCTTTGAAGTAATCCATAAAAGCTCCAGCAATTTCACTTTGTTGGGTGATTGTTACTCCATTTAGCTCTAGCTTTGATATGAAATTTTTCCTTCTTCTACCACTTTCTAGAGCATGGAAGAATGTGTTTCTATCCCCTTACTTTACCCACTTGTGCCTAGACTTTTGTTTCCAACTTATCTCTTCTTTAAGCAAGATATCCTCCAATTATTTCCTTAAAGACCATCTCTGTTCCTTCTCACCTTCCCCAAAAGTGCCTTCAACTTCTTTAGCATCCAAAGCTCCAATCTGATTGATCACCTCTTGTTTTCTCTCGTCCAATCTCCCAAACTGTTGAAAAATCCACTTTTATTTTAGTTTTCATTTCCATTAACTTTTGATGGAACCTCATTCCCTCCCAATTAGCCCTTAGATTGTTTTCTTCCCATCATTCCTTAACTTTCTCCTTAAAATCAAGGTGACAAAGCCACATATTCTCAAATCGAAATGGAGCTGGACCCCTTCCCCTCAAGCAAGGTTTAAAGTTTCGATACAATACGCCCGATACGAAGCGTATAGTATTGTATCTTTGAAAAATAGATACGGGATACGCATGGAAATCAGACGTTTCATCTTTTTTCATGCGTATCGGACCCATATCGGGGGCATATCGAGGGCGTATCGGGGGTGTATCGGTAGCATATTGACGAAAAAGATACGGCCAAAAAATTAAAAAAAAAGGGCAAAGCAAGCTTCTTTTCCCCGAAATAAGTCTTCTTTCACCCCTAAATGACTCTAAAACTCCAAACTTCATTCCTAGAGTGCTGGGTTTAAAGAAGTTTGCAAGAAACAAGTATGAATTGTTAATTTTTTCTAAATATTTTTCAATTTTTGAAAAAATATGACAAAAATAGGTAATTTTTTCGATTTTTATAATATCTTGTTATTTCTTTTTTTTTCTTGAATGTTTAAATTTATGTTGATCTACATTTATTACATTCAAAAATCACAATTTTTTTGTGTTATCAGTAGATTTGCGGAAATTTCATGAAGATATTTGGGGAAAATATAAATTAACAAAAAATTTGAAAATGTAACTTTTTCTCTGCCTATAAAGACTAAATATGTTTTAGATCTATGGAGTTATCTATCATATCCATAGAGCAATTGAAATTTCTTCTTTAATATTTTTTGATATTTTACATTTTTAGAATTAAAAAATAAATAATAATTAATTATATTTTATCATTTGGTCACAACAATTGAATATATTATAATTCTATGGATGATCTATCGTATCCACAAACCAATTGAAATTTCTTCTTTAATAATTATTTTTTTTTATTTTAATATTTTTAGAATTAAAAAAATAATTAATTAATTAATTATATTTTATCATTTGATCACAATGATTGAATATATTGTAATTCTATGGATGATCTATCATATCCACAAAGCAATTAAAATTTCTTCTTTAATAACTATTTTTTTAATATATTATATATAGCTTATTTATTTTTTATAACTTTTGAAAATGAATAATAAATAATAATTATTTAAATAATAAGTGATTATTAATTATATTTTCACATAGAAGTTGTGCCAATGCATGTTTTATGATTGGATAGGAGAGTTGGTTGTTTCCCATCCCATAAAACATTAAAACTTAAGAATTATAATTTATAAATTTAAGTTAGGCATAGGATTTTTAATGAAATTATAATTAACTACAATATATTTCTTCATAAAACCATTAAAATATATTAATTTAATGTATATACACATCATTGAGGTCCTATATTTAATGTTGTTGATGTATTTTTATGATTTATTAAAGTATTTATAGTGTTTCCAAGCATATCTATGTGTATCTTAGCTTTTCTCTAATACACATGCGTATCCAAGGCATATCCCGATACGTCTCTTAAAATTGCCTTTCCGATACACTTGGCGTTTCTGATACTATGAACCTTGCCCTCAAGTCCTCCTTAGATAGAGAGATAGGCCGATGATCAGAAAGTATTGATAGGAAAATTCAAAGTATAATTGTGTGACACTAAGATGGATAAGAAGCAACAAAAGAGAAGACTTAGTGATGCAAGCATGAAAGTAGCAAAGGAATCCTTGGAAGAAGAAATGAAGATTCTTATTTCTTCATATCCTTGAACAAGAGGTAATTTCATAATTTTTGGATTATTTGAATTTTGTTACATTAGTTTGGTGGTGTCTTAAGAATACGGCTGTAAGTATTTAGAAATTTACTATTATTAGATAAAAAGCAAAATTACTATTTCTGCTAACTTATGGACTTAGTGTTATAGTAATTCCCATAATTACAATTTATAGTAAAATCACAAACTATTATATTTAGTAATTCATTAGCCTCTACAGTTATTTCTAACAGGATAAGTAATGGGTATTTAGAATTATTGTTATTCATAAAATATGGGCATTTTGAATTATTTTACAAGTTAGAGTCCTTACTTGAGTATCCCTGAGTTACTTATTGCCTACTGGGTTGCCTTAGTTCTAAAGTAGTTCGATTTTGTTTTGGGGTCAGTTCTCACTCTTCTTCCCACCATGTTCATCCCAATAGGACTTTCTGCTGCTCACCCTACATCACTTAGGGTACCTCAGAAGTTACATCTAACCAGGCCACCAGGGTCTACCATGCACATTGGTTCATCAAGTTCCATGCTAGATGATTGGATACAATAGCTGGCCCCATGTGGGAGATTTCCAATCTCACCAGATAATCATCTGATCAACTGCAGTTTTTTGGACAGCACAAACATATTTCAGAGTTCAGAAATAACCATAGAACATATGTTTATTTCATCTGAGTCATCTGCAATTCTGCACAGTCCACTTCTGGTGCAGTAAATCTCCTACGTGGGACCAGTAGACCAAGTATGCTAATATGCTTTTCATACGTCCTCCTTGAATCCTATTCAAATTAAGTTGTCGACTCACCAACTCCTTGTGGCCTATTCAATATGTATTTTTATGTTCAGGTAGATTTTTCCAATAAAAAATGTTCACTGACTTTCACAGGTTGTTTCCAGTGCTTCTTAATTCCTTGTAGGTGCCCCTTTCCAACAACTGCAACAACAGAAGTATGTTTACTGGCAACTCGAAGCAATGTGGATGACATGTACCTGCACATAGACATTAATTTTAAAAATACATATAATAAAAATCTATCCCACCATATAACCAAAGTTAAAACTCAAAGGAATGCCAAAAAATGTTTCTCTATAGGATATGTAACAGAAAGATATCATAGCAAACAAATTATAAAGGGTCTTATCATTATCATTACTTGGAATGGCTAATTTTTCAAAACAAGGAGCACTAGAGAAAAAATTCATTGCCAGCATAAGCATTCTCAACACTATTTCACAGTATTCACCTTGACCACTCCAATAATCTCTGGTGGTTATATGGGTTTTCACAGAATGAATAACTTCATATATGATAATAATAGGGAGTGGGAAAGCTACACTTACATCAAGAATATTTCTTTGATTTTTTACTTATGGTTCACTTTACACATCAAACCTTTGGTTTTTCATGAAAGATGTATATCAACTGATATTACTTCATCTACTCTCAGTGCAATATGCATACACACATGACATATACATGCATTTGTCTGTCTTTTGCACGTGTGGAAGTGCAGTCAGTAATATGTTGGACATCACTTCTTTCTCAATATGATGGGCATTCAAGCAAGGAATCCCTTTCATGACCTTCTCAGAAGGTTTCAACTATATCTACAAAAGTAAAAGGTTTAGTAGATACATTCACAGAGCAAATCATCCATTAGCATAAATAAATTTTAAGATTAGGGGAGCTTCCTCCCTTCCAGAAAACCATATTACAAAAGTGGCAAAGGAAAAAAATAATAGGATCCTTAGAAACTGGAAAATTGTATTGGTGCTATGATACCCAAATGCCTGTACATGCCTACTAGCATACCCATGCCAGGCACAATATTTAACGACTATGACGCAAGATACAGCATGGGCACTTCTAGATCTACTCTACATCATTAACACTTTTAGAACAAGTAAAGTGGCATTATTAACAAATTATACCATAAAAAGTATATGCTTGTTAGAACTCAAATAAATTTGGAAAGACGCAAGTATTGAGATGAGAAATGATGTTTTGCTTGATAAAACTAGATATAAGAACTGATATAAGTGTATTACATGGGATACCTGTACTTGTATCTGTGTCTGGGATTTTACAAGTTATATCCTTATTTCTTATATCCATGCCCGTGTCTGTATCTGTATCTGGGGATCATTGCTGATAGAAGGACAATGCCCAGTATATAATATTGCTAATTCACATTCAAACTTAGATGATCTAATAATATTGTCAATGCTTTAGGCTCAGTTTGGGAAGAGTGCAAAGGCAAACATGCACAGATAATACACATAGGTTCTGTTTGTATTTGTACTGAACATATTTGTATTTGAACTCTTCCCAAACGGAGCCTTAGGAAAAAGCAAGGATAACAAGGCAAAATTTGTTACAAATTGCACCTGATTCAGGAATGTTGTAACAAGGTGACAGTTTTCTATTTTTTGTGATGTATCACCCCTGGCTGTTGTATTTTTTTTTTTTTATGAGCTTGGTTGTTGTAATAGTTCCTTCATTTCAACATTTTTGAAGTGTGGGATTCTATTATTGTATAATGAAATGATGATTGCTGCTGATGATTAAAAAAATAGTGATGATAACAACAATAAAGGTGTCATCATTCCAACCAAGAAATGAAAGAAAATGTTAGTAGTAATCACAATTAATTGTGCAATAGAATGTCTTTTCTTTAACAATAGCAGAATTTCATTAGAAATATTTAAAAAATACAAGATAGGGAGAGGTAAATTTTCTTAACTCTCCACAGACAAAAAAAAAACTATTACAATTGAGCCCAAAACAATTGGTTCCTCCATCTATCAAAAAAAAAAAACAATCGGTTCTTCCCAACCCCTTGTTAGCTATAACATCAGCAAGACCATTTGCTGCCCTTTTAACCCAACTGAACTGCACATACATATCTTGCATCCACTTGAATCTCCTTTTTTCATTATGGAAAGCCCAGAAACCTTTTTCTTCCTTTTGTAACCACTCCAATACTAGCTTTGAATCAACTTCTACAACCAGCTTCCTCACATTCAAATCCTTTGCCTTTTGAAATCCCTCCATGACAGCCATAACCTCAGCCCTTAGGGAGTCACCTACTCCAAATGGGCCTGAATATAGACCAATGAATTTGCCTTTACTATCCCTAAACACCCCTCCAATACCAGATGAGCCCGGGTTTCCTGCACTACTCCCATCAAAGTTCAGCTTGATGTAGTCAACCGTTGGAGGAAACCAAGCAGGGCTTATAATATATTTGTGGTAATCAGAACTAGCCACTTCCTTCCATTTGTTCATGATATCACCTGTTAAGAAATCAGCAAATATCTTCATAGATTTTACCCAATGAACCACTCTCTCCATGATGGTTTCAATGACAACTTCTCTTCTTCTTTCCTTGTCTTCTTTCTTCCCATATAGTCCAGCTCACAGCCACCCTTACACATCTCCATAACACCCATCCCCTTTTCTTTGGCCATCCGAAGAAAGTAGAAGGAAATAAGCTTTGCACATTAGCTTGAGGAGACCACCTACACCCAAGCAACAAGAAAAAACACTCCCAAATAAAAGCTACAAAAGGGCAAGAGATCAAAAAGTGAAAGCAAGCTTCTCCACTAGCCTTACACATAACACACCAGTGTGAAGATAAGCATCAATTAGTTCTTTCCTTTCGGAGTAAATCGCAAGTATTAATTCTTTCCAGGAAGACTTCCCAACAAAAACCTCCTACTCTCGGAGGGATGGCATTACCCTAGACCTCCTTCACTAGGAAAGTTATCCCCAAAGAGTCAAAAGGTTGAATCAAGGCCTTAGAAGGAGCATAGGAAAAGACACCATAGGAGGATAAGTATCCCCAAAGATTCAATAGATTGTCAAGGATATGCTTTACTGGATTTGTTGGATTTGCCAATAACAATAGAGACAAGGAGGATCTAGGTTCAACTTGCAGTCAAAATCAGCTATTACTTCATCAAATGTTGTTTAATGAGGCCAAGGTGACTTGCACGGCTTGGTCAAACATCAAAGATTTTTATTTATTTTTTTCTTGTTTGGAAAATACAATGAAAAGAAACATTTATTAGAGAAACAAAAAGAACAATGGAGTGTCAAAATAACACCCTATCGTCAAATATCCCAATTTACAACAACAAAAAATCGAAAAATTAAAAATAAAAAAAATCGCAACTTAAAACCAGTCATCTATTACAATATCATGGTTGTCTCAAAAACTCCAACCCAGAGACATCTCTCTCTCTCAATGTCTTCAAATTCCAGATGAACAATCCCTTTGAAGAAATAGTTGGTTAGCCACGAGTGTGGGGTTCCATACCCAATTCAAGCTCTAGTGTGTGTGGTTTCATACCCACACCTAGTTGTTTCTAATTTATTTTATTAGTGGTTTCTAATTTCTTTAGCTTCTAATTTTTGTTATTAGAAGTTTCTAACTTCTGTTAAGTTGGGTTGGCTGGCCTTATTGTTTCTACTTTTTGTTTATTTCCTATTCTTGTAAGGATCCTGAAAGCTATAAATAAAGGAGTGTATGGGGCAGCAGATCATTCACCACTGAACCCCTTCTTTCTTTTCTCCTCTCTTCACTCTTTTTCTCTCTCTCTTTCTCTCTCTTTCTCTCTCTTTCTCTCTTTTCTTCTCTTCAAACCTGTAATACAATAAACAATTTTCTTCTTCTTTCAAGTTGGTATTAGAGCCTTAGATCTAGGGTTTCTCATGTGGATTTAACTCAGCCAACCACATGAGAATTGTTTAGGGTTGAAAGTTCAAAAAGATCCTTATTTCGGCTGATTCTTGGAGGTTGCAAGAAGGCTTTAGCAGCTGTCCTAAGCTGTGGCAGAACTATTGTTACCTGCTGTAGATGCAAAGGAAGTCAGGGGAGAGAAGCAGAATTCATCTGGCGGATTGCCCTCCCATACAACTCCAAATGGTCACAGAAATAATTAATAATATCATCCCTTGGATTAGTCACGGAAGGACTCATAGTAGTGGTACATGATTGAGGCTCTGGAGAGGCTAAGTTTGCTGCATTAAACTTCCTCTGGCCTTGCTGTCCTAGCTTCTTATTATGATCCAGCTTTTTACTCAATTCCTGAGCCCACTTTGGCTTCCCATGAAGCTCCCAAGTATGTCTAGACTTCCGACAATGTGTACACCATAGTTTCTTTGTCATCAACTTTCTTCTGGAAGTCACTCCATTTAGTTGCTAATCCCTCAGGATTATTTATCACATTCCGTCTGCTCTCTTCTTACTCTACTAGAGCATAAACTTCTTGTACTGATGGGAGATCTTTACTCCCCAATATTTGAATCCTGATAGATTCATATGGGAAATTCAGCCCTAAGAGAAAGGCAAACACTCGTTGCTGGGAAACCAGAGACTTGTATGCTTTGGCATCTGCATCACATTTCCAATCTATATTCTGATAGTGATCTAGTTCCTTCCAAATAAAAGTCAAGTCTGAATAGTAGACGGAGAGACTCCTCACCCCCTGTTTACAAGTTGAGGAGGCAGCCTACAATTGATATATTTTAGCATAATGTCGTTGTTCTGAATATGTAGACTTTGCCTGGTTCCATATCTCATAAGCTGCTTCTGCCCACATAAAGGTCTTTCTCACTTGTGGCAGCATAGACAATAACAGCCATGACATCACCATGCTGTTTTCCTGGCCCTACCTATCATGTTCCATGCCACCAGACTAGGGTTCTCTGATTCTACCATTGATATACCCCACTTTTCCCCTTGCAATTATGTAGAGCTTGATTCCCCTTGACCATTCTAGGTAATTGAGGCCATCAAAGGGAATCACAGCCATGGGGGAAGTCATGTCAAAACCTCCGCTCATCCCACTCTGACTAGAGGTTACACCAGACATACCAAAATCTTCAGAAGACATAGAATCTGAATTCGGTTCAGTCGCAATCCAGCTAGAGAACAAGTTTTCAGTTCAGTTCAGACTCACAGTACAGTCAAACAGGTTGAAGTCTTAGTTCAGCCAGAATTCTGGACACAAGAAACTTGTTCTGCACAGAGTAATCAAAACTGATCACACGCCATTACTGTTCTCAGATTTTGGCCCTACTAAACCAGTTCAGATGTGCAAAACATGTCAAAAAACAGGTCTGACCAGTCCCTCCAGCAATAAATCATCAACTTTCAAATAGCAACTTAGGTTCAATATGAACAGAAGAAGGAAACAAACTGCTGTCACAGCAGTTACAGATTTGCAGACCTGAAAAAACCACCTTTCAGGGCATAAGGAGGATCACTCGATCCACACACATTGAAAGAAGACTCTCACACCAGCCGCAGGTCATTAGACCCACATAACCCACTCACCTGGGTACAAAAAGATCAGTTCGATCCACAAAACTGAGGAAGAAAGAAGAAGAAACAAACTCACAGCATTCGGCTTCCCTCCCCTTGATGATTTCTGGGCTCACAACCAAGAAAAAAAAAATCGCTGTAAGCTCCCTCACACGTCCACCAGAGATCTTTCTCTTTGATTCGATCACCAATAGACAAAAAAGGAAGATTGGATCTGCCACCCTGCTCCTAAGATTGGATCTGCCGCTCTGATACCATGTTTTCTTGGTGAAGAGGTAGTGCGATTCCAGAATAGTGAGAAGAGAAGAAGGAGAAGAGAGAAGAGAGAAGACAGAAAAGAGAAAAGAGAAAAGAGAAAAAAAAAATATTTGAGAAGGGAAAAAGTCAGATGGCGGCACCAGCCTTTTAATATTTATACTAGGGCGACCATACAGAAATAAAAAGGTGTAAATACAAATGTGCCCTTGTGGCACTAAACTGAAAAATAAACTAAGTTATTCAACAGAGTTCATGTGCTGTTTTTTCTTGCCCTTGGAAAATTCTATTGTTTCTCTCTTCCCACACTGCCCAAATAATGGTTGCCCTCGTTGTTCTCCACATCACCTTTCCTCTTTTCTTTGATTGTCGGAAGAAGCTAGATTCAAAAAGACCCGCCACGCTTGTAGGAGGAGTCCACCTGTACCCAAAGAGAGAGAAGAACCAATCCCAAATAGAAGTAATAAAGGGACAGAAGATTAGTAGATGATTTACCATCTCACAACTCTTTTTTTATTAATTACCGTCTCACCACTCTTCAAGCAAAGGCTACAAACATGTGGGGATAAGAACCAGTTTGGTAGTTTTCTTTGAAGCACATCCAAAGTGTTTATTTTTTGGAGAACAGCTTCCCAAGAAAAGGCCCTCACCTTTGGAGGTACAGGAACACACCACACTTCTTTTACAGGAAAAGAAGAATCCAAGTTAGAAGATTGCATCAATGCATTGAAGAATGAGGAATAAGAAAAACACCTTGAGGACTATTCTCAGCAACTTCTACTATCAAGACAAGATTGGTCCAAAAACAGAGTTTAGAAGAGCAAAAAAGTTCATTTGCCGACCCTATTTCTAAATCCCTCAAACCTCTTCTTAACCCTAGATCCCAAGATTCTACAAACACACAAAAGGCAAAGATGACTTTAAATTTGTTCAAAGAAAGGGAATAGAGGGCCGAGAATTTATCCTTAAGAGGATGGTCCCCAATCCAAGTGTCCTCCCAAAAAGAATCTTATTTTATTATGTTTTCCATTACCTATTAGCACAATATAGAGGATGAAAACCCTCTATATTGTGCTAATAGTATAAAATATTATAAATAGAAGTGGGAGCTTTATTTCTTTTAATGCATTACAACCACTTGAATATGAGTCTTTTATATCAGCTTATATATTTGGCTAGGTGAATGAGATACACAATGGGGAGTAGCCCTCAAAACCACGAAAGTCCTTCCTCAACCATGGTAAAGGATTGGACCCCACATCTCTACTATAACCAGCCAGCCAGAGACTTTACTGGCAAACCAGTTAGCACCTTCAATATCAGCTCATACAAGAAACTCTTTCCATCACAAAATTACATGCATTGAGTTATTTTAAAAAACATATATCATGAAATATTCCTTTCTTGATATATGAAATAAAGTGCAACTTAACAATGGATAATGGCACTGAACAAAGCGCAATGGCATAACAGGATTCATATAGCTAAACATGTGTAGTTAAGAATTAGGACAAGGCTTAGTTGAGTAATACAAAATAAACTGTTAGAGGTTAATAGCAGCTTCCTTATTATTTAGATTCACCATACAAATTAAAAATCATAGGGAAAAAGAAAAATAGAAAACAAAGGATCAACTAACCATGGAAAATAATATGTTCAGATGCAGAGTCATCCCTACAAAATTATTCTCAGGCCATAAAATCACTAAGCAGTTCAGCATGATATGGAATCAAAAGATACTAACAGATCTCGTTCATAAAGGAGGGTCTCCATCAAAGTGGGAAATGCCTTGCTCATCTCTTGAACCATAAGAGTTAACATGTCCACATCATCCATTTCCTTCAGCTGGAGATAAGTACAACCAAGATATAGTCAATCCAGCATACAGAGTTCCAATCATCAAATATAAAGGAAAATCAAAATTTAGAAACATGATATAGATTTCCTTCTTAAGTAACAACATGATACGAAAAACATAAAAAGGTCAATATGTTTGATAAAATAAGAAGGCAAGCAAGCTTACCTTTTTATTGAGATCCTCAGAACTTGGTAGAAAAATTGTTTGGAAAAACGCGCAGCATAGAAACTTTACTTTGTGCCAAAGTGTCATCTTTTCCCATGTCCTTCGCAAGGTAATCTATTTCAGTTCACAGATCAGTCATACTTAGAAGGTCCACATGCAATAACAGGCACTGCACCACAAATGTGTAAAACTGAGAAGAGACTGCTTGCACAAGCGACTGGGGATTCAGAAATACAATGTGTAGGATAAAAGGATATAAGAAAGAAGCTACTCAGTGTTTGGCATGCTCAAGAAATTGCCATTATGCTAAGTTTTATTTTCGCAATAAGCACATACACAAATACTGCTTACATGGAGGCATTATTTCCCAGCCACATAGCTAGCCCTTTTATTCAGAAAATAGTGGCTTTTCAAATATGGCACATGGACAATGGGTCCCACTAAAGAATCCCTTTAAGCTAGTATACTTCTTTGTCTAACTCCAAGTCCAATTAGTTTCCCAATCAAATCAATCTTCTTTTATCAAATCTCTTCCTCATGCACCCTTCAATTTGGAAACAAATCCAATTTAAACCCACAAGCAAGATTAGCATCCATAGAACTGAGATTGCTAAGGCTGAGTTTGGAAGGAGTACAAATGCAAATATGTAGAGTGCAAAACAACAGTTTCCACTTCCAGACCGAAAAAGACACATGTATAATCATCTCAAACAAGAACTAATATTCTCTAGAAGAGTTTCAAGGCAGTTCATTAGAAAATCCACTTTCAGGTAATTTCTTTCTTTGCTTAAAATTTTGATATCATACTTGCTACCACATACATACATAGTGAACTATCTGGGGTTAGCTACATGATTCCTGTTTCACCATTCAGTTCTGTTTAGTGCCTGGGCTAAATATTGCACATAGTGAACTAGAGACACAGCTACAAAGATAAAAGTCTGGATTTTACAGGGTAAAAATGGTCCTGTGACTGCTTTAAGCACACCTTTGAGTGTGGGATCTTCACTGTAAAAAACATGGGATGGGCAAATTGTAAACTCATCTCCATAATGGCATAATCTAGGTAGAGACAAAAAAAAAAATCTAGAGTAAGACTCACATCATGGAAAATTAAAAATCTGCGTCTTGATTCTACTTATTGAGGTCACAATTTTTACAAAGTAAAATCATATCCCAAGGAACAAAGAATCACGAATCCATAGTTTCCATGGTTTACATAATTACATATTTAGGAGATTTACTAAGTGTGTTTGATAACAGCTGAAGATGCTGAACTAAACAGCTTATTGCTTTGTCCTTTAGTGAATAAGTATTTAAGGAGGTTGTGGGCTCCGTACTGGCTGAAACCAAAGTTGGGTAGATCATTATACTCATGAAAACTTATCATTTAATTATTTTAACAACTAAAAGACAAAGTAACAAGTCTTTCAGTTGAGCAACTTCAGTCAATATCAAACGGCCCCTAAGATCCCACCACATGATGGGTCACATGTAAGGACCCATGCTAAAGGTCAGGATTAATATGACTTTCAACCAAGGTTCAAAATATCGCAATGTATCAGTGCATATCATGCAATACATATCGGTTTTCAGGGTCACATATATGTTGGATACTTTAGGTTATTTCAATGGTTGTAAATGATATTAGAGGTCATAGCATATCCACTGAAAAATTGTTAAATCAAGAAAAAACTAGTTTCAATTGAACAAAACTCTTATATGCAATTTTTTCATATCGAGAGTTTCAATACTTTGAAGTTTGAACCTTGGTTTCAACCATCTGATTGGCATTCAATTAATTGCTAAATAAATAAAATATTATAAAAATCAATTATTCTAAAGTATATTTAACTAATAAACTAACCATTTTTTATAGGAAACGGTAACTTTCATTAGCTTAAAAAGAAAAGAAATACAACTGTAACCTACAGAGACATAAGGTGACCCCTCATCATATAAACTAATATAATGCTTTAAAGATGAGAAATGACACCTCTTTTAAGCAAAATCCAAAACACAGTTTTCAAGGCGCCAAGGCGAACCTAAGCGACAAGCGAGCACTTAGTCCCCCGGTCGCCTAGGCGTCGCTTAATGTCTAAAAAGAAATAAAATAAAAAAGGGATGAACCCCTATTTTTGTCATTGAAATAGAAATAACAGAAGGGCAGAGCCCCTATCTTTCTTACAGAAAAAGAAATGGACCTGTGTTTTTTGTTCCAGAGGAAGAAGAAGAAGAAGGGCGGAGACCCTGTTGTTGTTCAAAAAAAAAGAAGGGGCGGAGCCCCTGTTTTTGTTCAAAAAAAAAAAAAAAAGGAGGGGCAAAGCCCCTGTTTTTACTCCACAAAAAAGAAAAAGGAGGGGCAGATCCCCTGTTTTTGCTCAAGAAAAAGAAAAAGAAGGGGTGGAGCCCCTGTTTTTTGCTCCAGAAGTAGAAGATGAAGAGAAGAGGAGGAAAGAAGGGGCGGAGCCACTGTTTTTTGTTCCAGAAGTAGAAGACGAAGAGAAGAGGAGGAAAGAAGAGGTGGAGCCACTGTTTTTGCTCAAAAAAAAAGAAAAAGAAGGGGTGGAGCCCCTGTTTTTGTTCCAGAAGTAGAAGACGAAGAGAAGAGGAGGAGGAAAGAAGGGGGCGGAAACCTGTTTTTGTTCCAAAAAAAAGGAGGGGCAGAGCCCCTGTTTTTGCTCCAAAAAAAAGGAAGGGGCGAAGCCCCTGTTTTTGGTTCCAAAGAAGAAGAAGAAGAAAGCATACCTTGAATGTGATTGATTTCCCTTTCTGAGACATACAACTTGGAACCTTGACGAGGATATCTCTCAAACTCCCTTTGAATATCATATCTCTCAATTAAGAAGATTAGAAATTAATAAAAAATTTATTATAATATGAACAAAATAAAAATAATGATTTGGTGCATCAGGTCTATGCTTATATTATAAACTTATAATATAAAAAGAATATTAAAACAGGTAACAAGTAACAGGTTATATATAATCACTTGAGACCATATGGTGTTTGGGTGAGGCGAGCCCTAAAAAGCCTACACGCCTAGGCGTCGCCTTGACAACTATGACCCAAAATCTAAAAACCGGTTGAACCATGTAACAACTCAGCCAATCCAAGCACAACCACAATGAAGGAAAAAACTCAGTTTTCACAGCTCATATACCTCACCAATTTTTCTCAAAGAACAAAAAGAGACCAATAACATGTCAAAGTCAAGTCAAAAGTTCAGAAAGAGAGAGAGAAACAAAAGATTGGTGGGTGTGACACCTTGTGTCAGTCGACACCCTACAAGATATATTTATATTATAAAAAGTAAAAGGACATCTTGTGTCAGGGCATCCAGCCCAATCAGCATCTGCATAAGCTGTAAGGTTAATAGGGGATGAGGAGGAGAAAAATATCTCGTGTGACAGGGTGCCTCGCACATATCTAATGATCCAATGAACTACAGATAAATGAGGTTGTCTTAGAGAAGACACGAACTGGCTCACCAGCTGAACTGCATAAGATATATCTGGCCGAGTCATGGTGAGATAGATTAAACTGCCCACTGGTTGACGATAAAGGGTAGGGTCTTCAAGAAGAGAACCATCATCTTGGCAAAGTTTCAAATTCAGTTCTAGTGGGGTGTCCACAATCTTGGAATCACTAAGATTTGCCAATTTAACGAGATCAGTCGCATACTTTTGTTAGTTAACAAAATAGCCCCGAAAGTTTCTGCTCACTTCAAGTCCCAAGAAATATGTCAGAGGCCCCAAGTCCTTCATCTTAAAGGACTCACTGAGTAACTGTTGTACCTTAGCAATTCCTTTTGTATCATCCCCTGTAATGTGTATATCGACATAAAGAAGTAATATCGCTACTCCCTACTTCCGCCTTAAGGTGAATAAAGAATAATTAGAAGAACTCTAGATAAAGCCAGCATCAGTCATGACAGATCTGAACTTCTCAAACCAGGCTCTAGGAACTTGCTTCAGGCCATAAAGTGACTTCTTCAAACAACAAACAAGTCGCAGGTCTATAAAATATCCAAGAGGGGGCTTCATATAGACTGTCTCCTTCAACTCCCCATGGGGAAAAGCATTCTTGATGTCCATTTGATGGATTGTCCACTGTTTGGCTGCAGATACAATCATCAGAAGTCGTACAGAGGTCATTTTAGCTACACGAGCAAAGGTCTCCTCATAGTCTATCCCATATTCCTATTTATAGCCTTGTATCTGTCTAGGCTTCCATCATATTTCAGTTTTACAGAGCTTTGACTAAGTCCCAAGTGTCATTCTCAAGAAGGGCTCAAATCTCAGGATCCATGGCATCTTTCTAATGTGGTTCTGCTATAGCCTGCTGGTAAGATCTAGGAATATTTGTGGTAGATAAAACAGCAGAAAAGGAGCAACGGTCTGGTGAAAAACCATAACGATCAAGTGGGCAAGAAATTCTAGAGGAATGGCATAAAGTGGGTGCAATGGGTTCAAGGGGAAGATCAGGTGCACTTATTGAGGCAACTGGAGTGATTGGATTAGCAACTGGAGGTGGAGAAGAGGGGGCATTGAGACTGAAGAAGACCGTTTCTTCCTGAAGTAGGTCTAAAGTTGTTGCGGAGGTGGCAATGGTATATCTGAGGTACCTGTAGAGTCAAAACTATGCAACAAGGAAATGGAAGGAGTTGGGAATTTTACAATATGTTCAAAAAAAAGATATACTCTCACGAAAAACTACATTACAAGAGACTCTAATAAGACAAAATGAATGAACATAGCAAAGGAACCCTTTATGTTCAGAACTGTACCCCATAAAGGCACACAAAGCTACTTGTGTAGTTAACTTAATGCATTCATGAGGTGGAAGGTGAACAAAACACGCACAACCAAAAACCCTAACATAAATAGGTTTGGAGGTTTGTGAAAGAAAGATTGAAAAGGAGATGAATTATTCAAAACAGATGATGAAAGACAATTTATGAGATACACAGCAATGCTAACCGCCTCCACCCAAAACCAAGAGGGTACATGGTAATCTTGTAGAAGTGTTCTAACTACATTCAAGATATGCCCATTCTTCCTTTCTGCTACCCCGTTTTGTTGTAGGGTGCCTGGATAGGATATTTGGGGTTG